AAAGTCAATAACCAAATTAATATAAATTCTAAATTATAAAAACTGATAATATAATTCACCCTATAATATCTCAATTTGTATGTCATTACTCTTATTCAATCTTTAAAAAAAAATAAAAAAATCTTCAATTATTGGTCACAAGTACAACCCATTTAATAAACAAAATTTGAAATTTTGTCCAACCGAATCTCCTTTATAAAAATCAAATACTAAAAATTTCTACAAATGCAAACTGAATTGAGTGGACTGACAGACCCCCAAATTTGTGCCCACCCTACATTATTGTGTGTTTGCTTTTTGGAAATGATTTTTTTAATGGTTTGTCTTTTTGTTAATTTTTTTAGTCTTTAGTGATTTAAAAAAAAAAAAATCAAAAAGTATTTGAAAGTTTTACCAGACTAGATGAATTAGCAAATTTTAAAAAGGAAAAGGGTTATTACATAAAAAAAATTCATAGTTTGACTATTGTAATAATATAAATATGAGTTTTAAATTTTGTCAATTTAAATCAAAATTTTTTGACTTATTTTCAATGTAAATTATTTGTCTATTTCTATTAAGTAAAATTGACAAAAACAAATAGTATATTAACCATTAAACTTAATGTAAGTTTACATAAAATATCTAAAATATATTTTTTTATTGAGTTTAATGACTAAAATATCTTCTTTTTTTTCCCATTTGTTTTACTTAGCTAAAAAAGGCAACTGATTTATATTGAAAACAAATAAAAAGATCATGATTTATATTGACAAAATTAAAAATTTAAGATTTATTTTGTTATAAGGCTTAAATCAATTTTTTTTTTTTTTTGGGGGGGAATTTTCCCTATAAAATAATTTGACAAAAATAAATGTCAAAATAATATTTTTAAAATTTTAAAAATTATTTCTACCCACCAGAGATAAAATTATATAAAATTGATAAATCTTTTAGACATTTATTTATTTACTAAATTAATTTTTATTATGTGTTTGGATGATGATCATGTAATGAGTGGTTGTTAGGATTTTAATGTGTAATCGATATATTTAGGGGTGTTTTGGGAAGATGATAAAAAGTGATTTTTTGATTTTTAACCAAGCTTTTAGCTTTTTTAGACAAGTGATTTGGGAAGTTAGTAAAAAGTTATTTTAGTTTTTTTGATTAATATTTGTTTATGATGTCAAATCACAATAAAATGACCAAACTACCTCCATTCAATTTAAAATATTTACAACTTTATCTATGTAGCATATTTTGACCCATGAGGGGTAGAATTGTAATTTCACCAGTGGCTGAAAATCAATTTTTTAAATGTCTTTAAATACAAAAAAGTCAACTTTTGGTTTTTGCTACAAACTAAAAAAAGTAGCTAAAAAACAAGTAGCCAAAAGAGGTCTTAATATCAACAATACTACGTGCCTCGAATTTGATTTTGCCTCGAATGGCTCGAATTTTGTTTTGCTGGTCGTCCGGCCAGTCATCTAGTAAAAAAGGTTGACAGTTGCGGTCGACAAGGTTACAACCGCGGTAGACAAGTGCTCCACTCGGCTGTCCAGTCAGTCGATCGGTAAACACAAATTTGAGTCATTCGAGGCAGCTCAATTCGAGACACCAAGGATTTCCCATTTAATATATGAAATATTTTTATTTTTAAATTTTTTGTTTGATAGATTAGTTTAATAATGATTAAAGTTGTCGCCATATTTGACTTTTGAAAAAATAAAAACTAATTTAATGAAAATAAAAATATCCACTAATTACATGATCATCATCCAAACACATAATAAAAATTAATTTGATAAAAAAAAATAAATGTTTAAAAGATTTATCAATTTTACATAATTTTATCTTTAGTGGGTAGAAATAATTTTTAAAAATTTAAAAATATATTTTTGATATTTATTTTTGTCAAATTAATTTATATTTTATTAAATTGATGATTTTACTTTTAAAATTAAGCAATAGTATTTTCAACTGTCCTTATTTAGAATAAGATTTAAAATTTAAAATTAAATGTGTCACAATTAAAAAATCAATAATCAAATTAATATAAATTCTAAATTATAGGAACTGATAATATAATCCACCCCCATAATATCTCAATTTGTATGTCATTACTCTTATTCAATCATTAAAAAAAAATAAAAAAATCTTCAATTATTGGTCACAAGTACAACCCATTTAATAAACAAAATTTGAAATTTTGTCCAACCGAATCTCCTTTATAAAAATCAAATACTAAAAATTTCTACAAATGCAAACTGAATTGAGTGGACTGACAGACCCCCAAATTTGTGCCCACCCTACATTATTGTGTGTTTGCTTTTTGGAAATGATTTTTTTAATGGTTTGTCTTTTTGTTAATTTTTTTAGTCTTTAGTGATTTAAAAAAAAAAAAATCAAAAAGTATTTGAAAGTTTTACCAGACTAGATGAATTAGCAAATTTTAAAAAGGAAAAGGGTTATTACATAAAAAAAATTCATAGTTTGACTATTGTAATAATATAAATATGAGTTTTAAATTTTGTCAATTTAAATCAAAATCTTTTGACTTATTTTCAATCTAAATTATTTGTCTATTTCTATTAAGTAAAATTGACAAAAACAAATAGTATATTAACCATTAAACTTAATGTAAGTTTACATAAAACATTTAAAATATATTTTTTTATTGAGTTTAATGACTAAAATATCTTCTTTTTTTTCCCATTTGTTTTACTTAGCTAAAAAAGGCAACTGATTTATATTGAAAACAAATAAAAAGATCATGATTTATATTGACAAAATTAAAAATTTAAGATTTATTTTGTTACAAATGTTAAACCCTAGAATTTTTTTTTGTAATTTTTCTAAAAAAAAACTTAAATATTTTTGGAAAACTATCTATTAAAGACAAAAAAAAAAATGTCAACCTTTTTTTTTAGCAATTTTTCCCCTACCCAAGATGGATTAAAAGTGAAAAAAATTGATATAAAAAAGGAATCCAAACTCACCATATGTGCCGAGGACCTCGTGACAGAGTGGCATATAGTCACCCTTAAGATACGATGAGTGGAAGGTCTAGAATTCGAACTGATAAATCAATGACGGCCGTTTTAAATTATAGAGAAAATTAGTCTAGGGTCCCTCCCCCACTTTTCATAAATGGAAGATATCCACAAAATTATTTTTTGATCTCTAAGGTCCCTAAACATATATCAGAGAAATTTGACTCTTTGCCCACAATTCCTCTCTCTCTCTCTCTCTCTCTCTCTCTCTCCCCTACAACCAAATGAACAAAAGCTTCAAGATCTTCGTCTACCCTACCCCCAAATCCCACCCCTTCGTCAGCAGCAATCTCTGATGAATTTGAAGTAGACGATGGCGAAAAACACATCGACCGAGTCGTGAATGGAAGCAGAGGAGTCGATTGAACGTTCGCGATCATCGATTCGAGGTTGATCTTCGTTGACTCTACGGAAGCAACGTCCTTTGGTTCTATAGTTTGTTCTATCTCTTCATTATTGATAAATGTATATATATATATATATATATATATATGATACATATATATATACAATGTCAACACACCTATATATCTAGAGATTCTACTGATTTAACTGTGGGAAATCTCATCATTTCCCTCACTTTGAGATTCTACTGATTCATCTTGGGGTATCTTGTATTCAGAATTTTCCACTCCAAGCAGTGAGACTGCACTTGAATCTTCAGACTCCTTCACATTTTTCAGTTTGATGTTGGGATTGACTTTGCGAAACAGACAACGGAGGAGAAGGGTTTGCAACACCCAATCCTTTAGAAAGACAAACATACTTGAAAATGAGATGTTTGTAATTATTCAGAAGTTGTTCTACGTCATTGACTATAAGATCACCGGCCTGAGAAAACAAATATGGGAAATCCCGAAAGATTCGACTTGCTTGATCCTCCTTCAAAAGCATAGATGCCCCTTTATTCTCCAAATCTGACATGGATGGAACTTCATGTAGTGGCCGCTGATCTTTCCCAGATGTTTCCTCCTTATTCCTGAATTTCATTTCAGAGGAATCGAGTAAGATCTGAGGTTTTATTGGATGGTCTTGATGGTTCTTTGTATTCAATGCTTCTTGTTTGGGTTCCACAGGATGATGGCTGTTTGGAACTTCCGTGGGGAGCTCATAACTTCATTTGAGGATCACCAGGATCACCTCTTGTGGCATCCTAATTGCAACACAAACAACATATATATCACAAGTGATTAGGATCTTATAATTTCCTACTTCAAAGCTGATTCAGATGATCCATTATCAGAAAGAAATAGTAAATCACGATCATTTGAACTGAATTTTCTCTGGGTTGAAACCAGAGAAATTCTTTAGTTTTTGAGCTGAATTTTCTCTGGGTTGGTCCAAAGAAATTCTTTAGTTTCGAGCTGGAACTTGGAATGTTTAATTTGTATAAAACCCAATGTTTGTGAAATCAAATTTTGAAACCCTCTTGTTGAGAAGGAAAGCAATATTTATGTTGTTCGATTTCATCTCTCATTCTCTCCAGAAAAATTCTCATCTAGAGAAAATTTCTCTAGAGAGAATTTCTCCGGAAAAGGCCAGAGAAATTTCCATAATTTGCTTGACACCAAGAGTGAAGGCCAGCAAAGCAGCAAATCACAGAGTTATTTGTGAGAAAATTAGAAAAAATTCAACCCTAGAGAAATTTCAAAACATAGAAAATCAAAAAAATTGAACAAAATTTCTCTGGTTTGAAATTTCTCTGGACAGAATTTCTCTGGATCAAATTGAGGGACCTTAGACATTATGAAAATATTAGATGTTCTTTATATTATAAAGTCTTAATACTAGGGACTCTAAAAAAAAAATCCCTAAATTATAACCTAACTCTACTAACATGTTAACCGAACTTTTTGACGACAAAAAAAAATAAATAAATAAATAAAACAAAACAAAACAAAACAAAATATAAAAAAAAAACTCACCATATGTATATCTTTGCTAAGCCCAAAGGCGACGTATGGACCGAGGATCCCAAGCCCACTGCCCCTATAGAAGGAGGAGGGGGCAGTCACAGTTGCCTTGATGATGCAATCCTAATAACCAATGCTTAGGTGCAGAGCTTCATTTTCCTCATTCAGAATGTTATCATCTTCTTCCAACCCAAACCCTAGCTTTCTCTGCATCACCACACCCACCTCCACCTCCACCTCCACCTCCTCTCTCTCTCCTCAGTTCCCAAACCCTAACATTTCTCTCTCTAACTCCAATCCACACTTGTCTCGTCCTCCTCCTCAGAGCATGAGTCCATCCAAATGTTTCTCTGCAACTTCTAACCCCATCACCGTTTCGAAGACATCCGAGTCGACAAGTGAATTCGAAGCGATTGAGTCGAGTTTGCACCCTCTCGTTGTGGTCTCCTTCTACAAGTTTGCTGATTTCCCTCGACATGCCGATATGCGTAAACCCTTGAAGGACCTCTGTGAGCTCCTGGTAATTCTCTCCCTTTAATGTGTTTTTTTTTTTTGTATATACATGTGTAAGTCAATTTGTTAACTGAGTGTACAATTTGTGGACAATTTTAGATTGCGTTTGGACTTGTGAATTTGAAATGAAAGGATTTGGGAACTAATGCACTAGTAAAAATTTGAGTGAAAGCTTTATTTGATACTAGAAGTGAGGCACACGTGATACGGGTGCATATGATCATTTTGTTTCAGGAAAATAAGATTGTAAACTGTATGATTGAATTCAAAATCTGAAGCCTGAAATGAATTTGGAAAAATCAGAAGTTGAGAGATAAGAAAAAAAATAAAAAATAAAAACTGAATTTAGGGCATAATTGCCCATATTTTGGAAAAATCTACAAAACAAGAGGTCAACACCAACTCCAGCCTCACATATATAATAGATAATAGATGAAGCACTTCGATGGACAAATTCAGATTTAAGCATAATGTTGGGTAAAAGCTTCAGTAATGACAGAGTTGTAAATTTGAAAGCTACAAAATGGTCTTAAAAATTTTGAGTAAATATTTGAGTCTCCTTTGATTTGGGGTTTAAAAATGGGTAAAACTGAACTTGATATAAGTTTGAACTTGATATAAGTTTGAGTCAAGGAGTGGAACGGTTTTTGAGTCATTTTTGTCAAAATTTAAATTTGATTTAGGTTTCGGTCAAGGGTTGGAGATGCCTTGTGGAATAGCTTAAATTTTGAAATGATAGTTTTGGATCAGGATTTTAAGATTAAAATTTAACCCATTACCATCATGTATTACAAGCATTTGGACTTGCAGATTTGAGATTAAAGAATTTGGGAGCTAAGGAATAACTCAAATTTAGATATCCCTCCAATCCAAAATCTGGACTAGAGGGGACTGTTTGGGCCTGTGGAGCCATCACGGGTCCCGTTTCGATGATCCGAATCATTCATTTTATCGGGCATTTCGTGTATTTCATCCGTCAAAAAAAATAAGTCGATCTAATAACTGCAACTTGTTCAATTTATTGTTTTTGTTATAAAAAAAAATGTATGGTTCATTTTTTAGAAACACAATTATCAATTTGTCATCCGTTTTTTTTTAGTGAAAAATACTGTAAATTGAACAAGTTATAGTTATCGGATTGACTTAATTTTTTTTGTGAATGAAATACATGAAGTATCCAACAAAATGAACGGTTCGGATTATCGAAACGGGGCCTATGGTGGGCCCCACTGGCCCAAGCAGCCCCCTCCAGTTGGACTGGAGGGAATCCTCCTCCAAATTTTAAAGCTTTATTGCTATATATTATGATAGATTGAAATACCCAGTGTTTTAAAAGGCTCTAGGCACACCGAGGCGATAAGGTCTCCAATAGTCTAAGCGCGAGGCGAAGCGCGCGCCTCACCAAAGCAAAGCTCAAGTAGTAAAAGAAAAACAAAATTATAAAATAGGTAAATTTTTCAACATAACAAATATATATATAATATTTAAAAAATCATAGCCATTTTTAATAATCTCTAAACATAACATTCAATCTTCTAAAAATTAGAAATATAATATCCAACAACAGATATAAAGTATAACATTCAATCTTTTATCACTTTTTTCTCTCTTATGACTACATTTGGTCATTTTATATTAAATAGTTTTGAATCCCTGCGGGTATTTCCACAAAAAAAAAGCACTTAGTCAACAATTGGAGTAGAAAAATGGATAAAGCCCATGAAGCCCACGCCTTGTGCCTCGAAAAAAAGCCCTCACCTTAGCGCCTAAGCGGTGCCTTGCATGTTGCGCCTCGCCTCGATCTGTTCGAAGCGCAAGGCTGCGTCTCATTGCGCCTCGCGCCTAAGCACGCCTTTTAAAACACTGGAAATACCAATGTAAAAGTAATTGTTTGAAATCTTTTATGCTCGTAATAAAATAATTCTCTTCTCACTTTACTCTATCTTCCCCCTTAAATTTCTCAATTTGTCTATAATAACCAAATCTCTTATATTTTTAAAAGTTAAACCTCAACTCCCTACATTTGAAATCAATCTATCCAAGCACAACCTTAATCTTCTGTTGCAATTTTATGTTGTGTTTTGTGGCTCTTCTTCTTCATTATTTGTTTAGTTTTCAATCAAATGGTGATTATGTTAAAAATCATATGAGGTGTGATTATTGTAATTTGATATTTTATTGTTTGGATTTGAGTTGGAAATGGAAGATAACCTATACCTATACTAAAGAATGGAATGCATAATTTTATCCATTGTAATAATAGGAAATATGGTTTTGTTCTTGGAACATTTTAAATTAGTGGCCAAATTGGAGTTCTTTGTTTTTGGGTTGTTCATGTTGTTGTGCGCTTATCGAAGCAGAGGAGTACCAAATAATGCAATAATACATCCATGTTGGTGTCATGAATCACAGGACACAATGTCGGGTCACTAGTGTAGCGTCCTAGTTATGACTTAGAATGTTTGGCCATCGGCAGATGTTGGGATACTCAGGCCTCGTTTGGCAAGTTAACATTTTAGCCAAAAAACTTAAAGTTACTAAAAAAGCCAAAAAGCCTATAACTTATACCAAAAAGTCAAAGATTCCCTTTTCTCTCTATTTTTTGCACATCTTTTCGTAAATAGTCAAAAAGCTACCCCAAACATACTAGTTTTTTTTACCTCATATTTTAGCCAAAAAGTCAAAAAGTTATTAAAATAGTCTGTTCCCAAACGAGGCCTGAGTATGAGTTCCTAGAGGGAGCTGTAGGAGTGGTTCTAGCAGGTTTCATATGAGGATTCTTGACATGGACCACCAAATTGGTACAAATTCAAACAAAACTCACATCATCAATGGGTGTGAGCTAGAATAAGTTGAAGGCACTAGAGTTGGATTGACAAGGCTAACAATGACTTCAATAAAAACTTGTTTTACCAGCCTCCAGATGTTTGACATAGTGAGCCGGTGATTATTGTTATGGGCCCCTAGATGTACTAGAGATTGGCTGATAGGAGAGTGATTGCAATGACCATAATGAAAAGCTACCAGAAGGGCAGTCTCAGAATCAGATTTGGCCAAATAGACACGATGACTCATGATAAAGGTCTTATGGCCGCCTTGTTCTCATGCAAATGAGATTCTTATTTCTGGCAATTGTCATCTCTTGTCTATTTGAATTATCTAGGCCCTGCATCATCAAATATAGTTTCCTCTATTAGGTTTTTAACAGATTATTGCGTACCCATCTTTGTATCCTAATTTCGACTTGATTTTTACTATTTTGATCTTGTGCATTGTTGCATCCATGTTGTTCCTGCCTCACCAAGCTGATCCTATCCAGCGTGTTTCAGGTGGTATAATTCTTGCACCAGAGGGAATCAATGGTAGCATATGTGGTATCCGGGAATCAGTGGAAAAAGTTCTTCAATTCATTCAAACCGATAAACGCCTAAAGGGGCTCAGACAAGTGGAGTCACCTGTGAGCCCTGAGGAGGAAGCTATCCATCATGGACACAGTAGTAGTTCTCCTCTTGCAGCAGGGGAAGATGCACCTTTCCGATGGGATCATGTGAGGGTCAAGTTAAAGAAAGAGGTATATTTTACTAAGCCAAAGGAATAGGTTCTTCATTTGGATTGAAGGCCTCTTCTCTCTTTGAAAGTTTAGGAAGTATTCTTTGGCATACTTTCTACAACCTGGCTCTTCTTTTGTTATTGTGTCTTTTCTTTTGTTAATGTTTCATTCTTAAGCAGATTGTTTCTCTTGGCATGCCTACCGTATCACCTGTTGAAAGAGTTGGAAAGTATGTAAACCCAAAGGATTGGAATTCATTGATTAGTGATCCAGATACAGTAAGTAACTGAATAACAATTCCTCTATGTCAGTCTTTGAATTTATTCATGCATATTTAGAATGCAGTAATTTCCAATCAGGTGATTAAATTATGTGTTGTTGAACAATATACTTTGTTAATAAATAACTACAAGATTTAGGCCAGTGCTAATGGAAGCCTGTTCCCTTCAGATCAGTTTTGATGTACTCTGATAGACAAAAAATCTGTTGAATTAGGTTCTGAGACTAAGAACCTCTTGATATTTCAATTAATTATGTTCAGCTCAGTGTTAGTTTTTTCTGGTTGATATTGCTCTCGGTGAAGTCGTAAAAGATGCTGGGCTTGAAGATTATTAGTTTTTAATTGACAAAGAAATAATGTTACCTTACCTGCTAGGAAGGACTCAACATGTCTATTTTTGGTCGTAGACATGATTTCTAACTTATCTGTTCCGCAGCATTAAGATACACAGAAAGTGGTCAAATATACTTGCACATCTTGACCTTAAACTAGTTGTTGACTTAACCTATGATTAGGTGGTGATTGATGTGCGCAATGACTATGAAACTAGAATTGGGAGGTTCAAAGGAGCAGTTGATCCCCGTACAACGGCATTCCGGAAGTTCCCATCTTGGGTTGATGATCAATTTCAACTTGCTGAACCAGAAGCCCAGGTAGAGTTGGATCATTTAGATGGAAGCACAGAACATAATATAGAGAATCAAGGACAGAAAATACCACCTAGGGTTGCAATGTATTGCACTGGTGGGATTCGATGTGAGAAAGCTTCAAGTTTTCTCCTCAGCAAAGGTTTCAAAGAGGTAAATTTTGTCTGATCTCTATCTCTGCTTATGCCCATGACTTGATGAAATCATTATGTTAAAAATCATTTAATGCTCTATTTAGTTAGTGGATTGTTGTACCTGGCCAATACTCCTAATTTCTCATTTCCTTTGTAATCTCCCTATTTTTTATTTATTTAATTTTTTTGTTTCTTAAATTGCCAAAATTATACTTTTTATGGTTGTAGTTCACGGGTTGGACCAGCTCGGTTTTCCTATCCACCCATCAACCGACCTGATTATGGCGGCTTGGAAATGCAATCGGCCAATTCCGCCAGGAGTTCTATTTGAAATCGACCGTTTGCAAGGGACGGCTTTACGGTCGGGTTCAGTCGAGTTGCACGGGCCACAAATATTAATCGAAAAAAGGGAAAAAGATAACATGAAACAAAATATGGAACGAAAAATTAAAGAGTGATTCGCAGAATGATTCGTAAGGGAGGAAAAAATCAAAAGCACAACAAAATAATAACAGAGAGAAATATAAAGGAAGAAACTCATCAGGAATCAAAATAGCTGTTTTTGCCATTTCAACTGTCTTTCATCCACTTTGCAAGTGATTTCCAACCAGTCGCTGTTCTGCGTCAACTCTTTAAGAATAACCCAACCAAAGGTTTGGCCCTTCATCATCGAATCACTGTAGGGTTTTGAAAATCAAAATAATCGAAGTGAGAGAAGGGTTTTAGGAGGGGAGGGTTATTGAGGCAATGATATTTCAGATCTGAAAGGAGCAAAAGGGTGAGGGGGGAGCGCTAGAGATTGTAAGAGGATATGCAGAAAAAGAGAGTGAAATTAGTGAGAGAAGAGGAGAGAGAGGGGGGGGGGGGAGGTGAATCATGAAGCAAGAGAAAGAGAGGGTGTAAGTTAGGAGAGGAAAAGGCGCAGAGAGAGAAAAGTTCATGAGAGAGAATGAGGAAAGGAAGAGAGAGAGAGAGAGAGTCTTAGGAAATGAAGAGACCTCATTGGAATGTGTAATGTCTTTAGAGAAGATGGCTTAGAATTGTTGGAAATTGGAACACATGATAGTGTTTGGCTTAGAGGGTTCAACATGGAAGGCCAATAGAGCTACGATGGGTATACAACTTTCTTTAATAATTATCGGTTGGATCGGTTTTTATCTGTTGAAAGGTGGATAAAACCGCTGCCCGTCTGAAAAAATAGAATTTTTTATTCATATTACCTGCAGCCGACCACTCCTTTCAATGAAACCACTAATTTTTTGATTTTTTGGGTTCGAATTAATCGGTTTGAGCGGGTGATTCAGGTTTTTGTACAGCCCTAGTTGTACTTTTGAAATCTCAGTTGAGTGTCCAGGCAGCCCAAAGGATGGTAATCTACAAGGGAATTTGGGGGTTGGATGGGGCATGACCGCAGAGGGACTGCTTACCTCACTTTCTGCATTCCCTATGCCCCATGTGCAGCTGTGTTCCAAGCAGTCATATGAGCAGATAAACTTCTTTTGACACTTCTGCTGGGTTTTTGGATTATATAGCATCCTTCTTCCTTCTTTTTTTTTGGAATTGCACCTTTAGTTTTCATCTTAATTACGATATTTGTTAACTGTTGCTTTATTTTTTGGTGCCATTTTTTGTGGAACATAATGCAAGTATAGAAGGCTGCAAAACACAAATATCATGTTCTGGAAGCTCACAGGTTATGAACATAGTGTGTCATGAATTCTCTTGTTAACAACCAGGCAACATTTTGAAAGACGTCATATTTCACTGCCAACCCACTATGTGAAATGAACTTCCCCCACTATTTTCCTTTCTTCCCATTATGGGGCCAAACACAAGATTTTCTTCATTTTTTATTCATAGAATAACAATGTTTTGTGCTTGAATTAGCTTTCGTGATAGTTGCTACCCTGTCAATTGATTGGTAGATGTTAATCTTAATTTTACCAGGTTTATCATCTGGAAGGGGGCATTTTGAAATATCTGGAGGAAGTCCCAAAGACGGAGAGCCTCTGGGAGGGCGAGTGCTTTGTGTTTGACAAGCGAGTCTCAGTTGACCATGGATTGGTGCAGGGAACTTTCAAGCTATGCTATGGGTGCAAGCAACCAGTTAGTGATGCTGACATGGAAGCTCCGGAGTGGGAGTATGGAGTTTCTTGCCCACACTGTTACTCATCAAAATCTGAAGAGGAGAAAGAGAGGGCAAGAGCTCGACAAAGGCAATTTGAGACGTGGGGTATTATTGGCGGTCCAGACAAGGGGCGCCCGCCAGCAAGAACAATTGATGGCATTCAGGGTGTCAACCAGGTGTCAAAATCACTGTAGTAGGTGTTTGAGTAGTAGGTGTTTGAGAAGCCGAGTAATGGTAGTTTTTGTTTTTTTGACTGATGATTGTGGCAGTGATTAAAAAAATTGAGTTTAGAAGTTTTAAGGTGAATGAACTTTGTAAGCCAACCTTGGTTCATAACTTCATACGAATGAGATTACTCCTTTGTATCAGAAATATGATTTGGAAACTAGATTAATGTTTAGTTGGGTCTTGATTCTCCTCAGGGCTTCTGGGATACCTCTTAAGTGATTAAGAAAAGCTCATTCAAGCCAGGCGAGCTTCTGCACCCTCACCTTAACAAATCATAGTTATTTGGCATATTATGTCATTGTGAGTTAAATTAAAAAACAATTTTAGGGTCTTAAAACATTTTTCTTAAATTGGTTGTGCATTTCTCTATTGTAGTAGGTAGTTGAATATTGTATAAACATTTATGTTGTGCTTGGTTGATTGGAATGAAGGTAGAACGGAGTGGAATGTATTGATCCTTCTTTAGTCTCTATATGGAATGATCAAATCCTGATAATGGTGATTAATGATTCTTTTTATAGTATTTTTTTTTCAGTGAATCAAACATGAGAATGAATGTTATAATGGAATGGTCACTCTATTTTACTTTTAACTCCAGTGAATCACACACTTCCTTAATGTTTTGTCAATCAATGTCCTTAGAATACGGTGACCCATATAATAGTGAGACAAAGGATGACATATAATGTGTGTTGCGATTCCTTTGTATTAGGAATTCAAGTAAAAGGAGATAGGGTTGTAGGAAGAGATGGGTAGGAAAGGTGGGAGGGAAAGGGACTGAGAGGGTAAAGGAATGGCAAACAACAATGGAGAGAGGTTGGGAAGGTAGAGAATAGCAAAAAGTAGATGGTGGCTGTGAGGCGAGGATGAAGAGGGTCTAGAGAAGTAGGGGGAAATAAAGGAGGGTTGGGACGGGTGAAGGACAAGATAGCTGATAATGAGTTAGGTTAGGGTTTGTAGGGAAGAGAAGGGAGAAAAAAAAAAAAAGAACAGAAACAACAGGAATGCATTTTAGTAATTTTAAAATTTTCTCACTTTTTGCACTTATTTTACAACCTTCCATATTTGCTACAATTTTTTTTTAATTTTTTTTTAATTTTTGGCAAAAATAAAAACTTCCATTAGTAAGATAAAACAGTACATGGTAGTCTATACAACAAATTAGCAGACTAGCTAATCATGGTTACAAGTAGAAATGGAAATCAAAATAAAGCAAAATATTTTCTATTGACTAACCATTGTCAAAAGGAAAGTGGGTATCTCCACAAGCTTGGATATGAGAAATCGCGACAAAACGTGCCAACCTCTTAGTAGGATGAAAATGATTTTTACATGCTAAGGAAATTTTACAAGAGTGAAAGTACTAGGCAACAAAACATATATCAAAAATCTATGGTGCTAAGCTTGCTTCGATGTCCTTAGTTCCCTTTAGCTGTTCAAACAAAAATTTAGCATCAATAAAAATATTAATATGGTAGTAATTATTTTCCGTAGCCCACTTGAGTGCAGACAAAATTGATGCAACTGGAGCAGCATTAGCATTCATGGGCAAAGATTTAAATAATTAGCCCACCTTGGTATTGTTAAGGAAGGCAACCATGCCAATACCCACGTCCAAAGGAGATGAATTACCCACATGACTACAAAGAAGTTCCACAGGATGAGAGTTGCAATCACAACTATTTTTTGAAAGATCAAAAAGATAGAAAGAAGATGAATTGGAGGAAGAATTAGTGTTTGCCAATGATATAGAACTGATAGAAGAGCTTTGATTATTGAGGATTCTAGAAAAAAAAAAAGAGTAAAGGAATTCTTTGGCTATTAAAAGAGGAGAGAAGATTTTTGGCTATTAAAAGAGAAGAGATATGTCTTTGGCTAAGAATAAAACTTGTAAATGTGTGAATTTCTTGCTACAAAATAAATTCAAGTTGCCCAAAGGATAGCAATAATCCGAAACAAGATCTCGAGGTCATTAATAATAGAGAGATTAAGATGTGAAAACCAATAGCCCAACCAGTAGGATACATGATTGCATTGTTTGATGGTGTGAATAAAGCCAAGAAGAACCAAACCACACTTGTTTGACAAATTCACAACGTAGAAACAAGTGAGTGGCAGATTCTAAGCCTGAATAGTAGAGGGGGCAGGCCAAATTTTCACGAAAGCCTCTAACGACCAAGTTTTGTTTCATAGGAAGTCTATCATGCCAAAATTGCCATTATAAAAACCGAATCTTGAAGGGTAGAAGTAGTGACCAAATTTGCTTCCAAGTAATCTAGGCCAAGTAGGATGAATCACCTTGTCAAAAGAAGAAGTGCTCCTAAAACAAGGCTGTATGAAAGGGTTCAAGAAAAGAGTTGGAAAATTCGAAGATCTTCGAAGATCCTTGAAGAACAACTTCAAATTCTCTAGAAAATGATGAGAGGCTTAGATTCTTCAATGGTCTAAACTCAAGAACACAAAAGAAAGGAGATGATGGAGATAAGAGATTGGGTGAAGAAGAAGGCAAAATGGCTAGAGAGAGAATAATGGCAAGGCTCTCCCATGGATCTCCCACTTTCACTCTCAAGGTTGATAATGGAGAGGGGAAATTAGTTCTTTCCCAAGAGTTGAAAAATCTCCAAAATCCATCCCTTGTAAAGCTATGGGTGGGTGCTATTTATAGGCACCTCGTGATGTAGGATGGGGCCCATGTGCAAGGCACATGGGGAATATTCTCTCTAACCACCTTGTCCGATGAGGTTACCTCTCCGAGGATGAGGAAAACCCCGAAGAAGAGATCAACCTCTCGGCGAATCCGTCTTCTTAGCCACACCTAACCAATGATCCCCAATCATCCCAAAAGGGTCAGGGGTAGTCTTAGAGGACGTCCTGCTGCAAAATATTGCCGAGTCTCATGGACCCCCCGGGGTCGTGCCACCTCGACCCGGGTATAGGCTAGTTTAACCGAAGAGTGAATTTATCTCCACTCACCGTCCTCGGGATCGGGTCCTTTGTTCGAACTCCATTACGCCCATGGTTCTGATGCGTAGACCCCGGAAAGCTCCGAGCTCGCAAGTGTTCTGGGACTCATTAACGGAACAGCTTCTAGATTGCGTTTGAATCTATTCGAAGCCAAGTGCTGCGGATCTCTAGATTCATGGATCCGAATCCTTTCGAGTCCGAGTGCCTCGGATCTCTAGGATAGCTCAATACCCTTTCGAGTCCGGGTCTGAGCAAGTTTCTAAGTTCGTGGATCCGAACCCTTTCAAGGCCTAGAGCGATTCAGCCCGTTTGATGGCGATAAATCCGGGCCCACTAATATTAGACTTGCGATAAATTCGGGCCCACTAATCTTGGGCTATTGGGCCTAATTAATTTAGCGGACTGAAATTAGCTCCTCTTACATTTGCCCCTTGCGTGTATGAGGAATTTTTTTTAAAAAAAAAATTTCGAGCACGTATATTGTCATTTTTCGGCCCTGCTTCGCATCACGTTCCCCAAAAAAAAAAAAATGTTGTCACAACAGAGCCTATGGATAAAGTTCATGACGCACTTCAATTTACAGAAGAAATTGACAAGCAAAAATTTTATTTTTTTGTACTTTTTTTTTATTTATTGAAATATACATTTTTATAAAATCTGAGAAAAATACACATATTCATGCATATATTTTAATTTAACCAAAGAATAATAAAGTATAAAGAACGGATAATACCACACACTTTTCTTGTTTGGCAAGTTGGTGAGTCACCAGGCCGTTATATGTTTGTTATATGGATATACACAATTAACAAAAATCTTGAGGGAATATTCTAGCATCATACAGCATCACACCTCTCATCTTTTTTCTATTTAAGGAAAGGCTCTAAACCCTAAACATCACCAACTATTTGCACAGCCGCCATACCTATTTCAGCCTACTCTCTCTCTCTATATCGAGAGACCCATCTTTCTTCCTCTCCAAGAAGGCTACGTTTCTGGACTACCAGAGGCCACCGCTGTGCTCTTCTTCTTCAACAAACCACATGGCTCCGCTTGCGTACTGACCTTCATCGTGACTCCAGGCCCCATTGCCGCCGTCGTCACTACTGAAGACCCATCTTCGACTGCCATAGACTCCATGACCGAGCTGCTAACTTGCTCCAGTTCTGACTACTGCGGACATCGCAACCCCGGATGCTGCTATTCTATGCCATCGCCAACTCTGTCTCACCGTAGGTGCTTCATTTCGGCCTAGAGATCCAGACACTCCGAAGCTCGGTTCCTACTGAAGTGGCCACCACCCTACGAACCATTGGCTTCTGCACGAACCCACCATGGTGCTGCCATGTGCATGACCATTTCAACTCACGCGGCTCATCTTTCTTACGCGTAGTTCCTACACCGCCGTTGCACCTGTCAACCATAACCGACTAGTGACAACCACGCCGCCCCCTCAACGCGGCGTGGGTCTGTCCGTAGCCTTTCTCGAACACTGTTGCTGGTTCTCTTCCTCCTTTTTTTTATTTGTTTTAAAGCTTTGAATCTGCTGGTTGCTGATGCTTGCTTTAATGGCTATTGATGTTTCAGTTTTTTTTTTTTTACTTTGCTGCTAAAAAATCTCTGGGCAAGAATATATATATATATATATATTGATTATCATATATATATATATATATATTTTAGCCTTGACTCCTCTTGAATGAGACCAACATAGCTTTTCTTCTTCATGAACAAAGCAGAGCTGCTGCCGTTTGCACTGAACTCAGGGCCGGCCCTGCCCTAAGGCAGGTAAGGCTTGTGCCTTAGGCCCCATATTTTGGTCCAAAAAATAGGGCCCCCAAATTAAAAAAATTGTTATAGGTTTAAATTTTTTTTTTTTTTGGTTTTAAGATCAATTTAAAGGGCCCCAAATGTTTTATTGGGCCCATGTATAATTTAGCCCATATTTATTTATAAATGTGTTTGGCCCATATTTATTAAAATGAAAATATGTGAATAAATAAATAAAAAACAATAGGGCCCCTAAATTTGGTAAAACATATAAACATATATAACATAGGGCCCCTAAATTTGGTAAAATATTATAGGCTCAATGTTTCTTTTTTTTTTTGGTTTTAGGATCAATTTAAAGGGCCCCAAAATATTTTTTTGGGTCCATGTATGATTTACTCCATATTTATTTATAAGTGTAGTTTGGTCCATATTTATTAAAATGAAAATATATATTAAAAAAAAAAGTGTTTGGGCTCCAGAAAAATAATACATACAATATATGGGCCTTATTTTTTTTTTTTACCTTCTTTATCTATTAGATTTTAGTGAAATAAATAATTTTGCTCAAATTTTTTT